CCATCTTAATATCCCTTCCTGGTCAACTTCTAACTCAGCGTTACTTCCTATTATGGCTGCTTCCTTTAACTTGCATAACTTTGGATCCAAAAAATTGAGCACTCTTAATTTAATCCATTAAAGAAGAATGAGCTTGTACATGAGCTAGAAATGCTCCTTATAACTAATCTCAAACTTCACCCTACTCTGCTCAAGCTTATAAATTTCTTAGACTAAAGGGCTTTCTTGTCAAAGTCATATGTGCTAAGCTACCTATCAACTTTTTACTTAACATATCAACCATGACATTTGCCTTGCCAGGGTGATAAAGAATTGTACAATCATAATCCTTAAGCAACTCCATCCATCTTTTTTGTCTAAGATTAAGATCTTTCTACTCAAAAATATACTTAAGACTCTTATGATCAGTATAAATCTCACAAGTCTTACCATAAAGATAATAGCACTAGATCTTCAATGCAAAAACCATCGTTGCCATCTTTAAGTCAAGAGTTGGGTAGTTTTGCTTGTGTTCATTAAGTTTTCTTAACACATAAGCAATAACTCATCCATGTTGTATTAAAACACAACCTAGACCCATGCGAGAAGCATCAAAATAAATTACATATCCCCCTGTGCTTGATGGTAAGCTTAAAATTGGTGTCAAATTAAAGTCAAACATTCCTTCAGCTTTTGAAAACTATCTTCACACTTGTCATCCCATTCAAACTTCACATTCTTTTAAGTTAGTCTTGTCAGTGGAGCAGCTATTTTAGAGAAATCCTTGACAAAACAATGATAATTTCCTACAAGACCCAAGAAACTGCAAATTTCTATAATTGTCGTGGGTTGTGGACAATTCTGCATTGCTTCCACTTTGCTTGGATCCACTTGGATACCATCTTTAGGAACAACATGTCTTAAGAAAGCAACTTTATCAAGTCAAATTTCACATTTAGAGAATTTAGCATAAAGTTGTTGCTCCCTCAACGTTTGTAAAAAAAAGTTACAAGTGCTGTTCATGCTCCTCTATAGCTCCTTGAATATATCAGAATATAATCAAGGAAAATAATCATGAACTTATCAAGGAATGGCCTAAACATCCAGTTCATCAAATCCATGAATGTTGTTGGTATATTAGTTAACCTAAATAACATTACAAGAAATTTGTAATAACCATATCGGGTTTTAAATGCAATTTTAGGTATATTCTCCTCCTTGATCTTTAACTAGTGATAACTTGAATGCAAGTCTATTTTAAAAAAACACACTGAGCTCCTTGCAACTAATCAAAAAGATCATCAATTTGAGGTAGTGGGTATCTATTTTGTTACCGTCACCTTATTAAACTATTGATAATCAATGCAAAGTCTTAATGACCCATCCTTTTTTTTCATTAAGCGTACTTGTGCTCCCAAAAGAGACGTGCTAGGTGAAATGAATCCCTTATCTAATAGTTCTTACAATTGAGTCTTTAGTTTTCTCAGCTTAGAAGGTGCCATTCTATAATGCAGAATAGAAATTTATTGAGTGTCTAGAACCAAGTCAATAGAAAATTTAATCCCTTGATCAGGTGGCAGTCTAGGTAATTCTTCTAGAAAAACATCAAGAAATTCTCGAACGATTGGGATTTGATCCAAACTAATAGTAGACTTATCAATGTCTCTTACCATAGCTAAGAACCCTTAACAACCCTTTATTAGCGTTAGGCTTTTGAGGTTGAAATAAGATTAGTAGTTTTTTCTATAAAACTCCCTTACAATGCAAAAGGAGTTTCTCCTAGAATATCAAATTTCACCACTTTTAAGTGGCAATCAATGGTAACATAATAAGAAGCTAACCAGTTTATGCTCAAAATTATATCAAAATCAATTATATCAAGTATCATCAAATAAATAAGGGTTTTTTTCCCTCAAGATACACTTTACAAGACTTATATACATAAGAAACAATCAAAGATTCCACCAACTATAAATGGATTATTAAGTTTGGTATGTTCTTTACCCAACCTCTTAGCAAAATAAACAAATGCATATGAATAAGTTGATTTAAGATCAAATAATGCATAAGCCTGATTAGAACACACAGTTATAATACCTATGACAATAGCATTTGAAGCCCTAGCATCCTGCTTTGTCATAGCATAAACTTTCACTCGTCCCTGCCTTGAAAAAGACTATCCTCGCTTTCCATTTCCACTTCTAGACATACCTTTATTGGCTGAAGTAGAAGTGGCCCTAGCAAGTAGTACTGGAGATGAAGTAGGGCAAGAAGGAGGTCAAACTGATCTGTGGCTTGACATAGACTAGAGATATGGATAATTTATTCTCAAATGACCCATTTGCTAATACTAAACATGTACTAGACACCTTATGACATGGTCCTAAATCATATTTCCCACAATTAGTATAAAGAACTTTAGTGTAACTTGATTGATTCGAAACTGACTGGACCGAGGCCTTAACATTACCAGAATTATATCTCATAATAGGAGTACTTGCTGATGACAAACCATATGATTTAGGTTTAGGTTGCATGGCACAAAAGTGAGATTGGTTTTGAAATTGTTGATTTTTAGAGGAAGAGCCTTGAAATTTCTCATCTATTTCTATTTTGCATTTCTTAGAAGCAATCTCGTCTTCCCTATGATGATTTTCATTTCTCAATCTACTATCTACAACTTCATCATAAGTGTTAAAGTAATCTAGCATAGGAGCTATAGAATTGTGTATACCCAATAGCAACCCCTGTATAAATCTGCTAATTCGTTCCCTCTCAGTTGGCATGATATAAGAAGCAAAAGAAGACAATTTGTAAATTTTTTATCATACTTTGCTATTGACATTCCCTTACTGCACTTCAAGGTTAAAAACTCTTCAATCTTGCATCTCTAGTACTTTAGGGTAAATAGTGCTTCAAAAAATAGTCTTAAACTCATCCCACAACAGGGATGGTACTCTGGTTTCCATTATACTAGCACAGTTTTTATCCAGGCATTTGTCATGCCTTGAAGCTGAAATATTACAAATCCAACATATTGCACATCAGGGCATTTTAACACCTGACACCTCTTTTCAATCGCTTCAAGAAACTTAATTAGATCTTCTCGTGCATTAATCCCAAAAAAAGAAGGTAGATTGAACTTCATAAATTTTGACAATTTAACCGCAGGACTTTCCTCTTGCATGTCATGTGTTAAAGAGGCAGTCTATTCCTCAGACGAGAACTTACTCATTCATCTTTAGAAGGAATATTTTGAAGGGACCTAAGAGTTTGACCACTCCTAGTCCTAATCCTATTCTGACATCGTCCTCTACCTCTCAAGGGCACATCATCTGTTGAAGGAATTCTACCAAAAGCATTACTGCTAGGAGAACTCCTCGTAGACACTCGACGCCATGGGTGGCATATTTCACTATATAAGGAAACAAAAGAAATATCTAATTCAAAATACAATTCTATGCAATAAAAGAAATCAATGACAAGAAACAAATATTCAAAAACTTCCTATAGAACCTTCAATGATGCCTCAATTATAATTATGCCTGGGTTCATAATGGTAATTGAGACCCCATTGAAAAGTTTTTGCTCCACATAACTATATAAAAACCTAGGTTCTAATATCAACATCTCATGCTGGTCATTCTCCATTTTTGAGGTGTGATAGCCCCCCAAATATTTGATGTTATGAATGGATATTATATTTTCAGTTGTAAAGTAGATATTTTGAATTGATTCTCCACATGCTTATTTTGACACAAATTTCTTGTGTTGTTGAGTCCACATGTCTAGTTAAATAGGTTGGCTTTGAGAGCTGGTTAAAATGCCTTCTTTTGAATTTACGGCCAACTTTATGAATTTTTTTGTATTTACACAAAGGCGATTCTGAGCTGAAATTTTCATCTATGTTCTTCTGTGTTCTTAGTTTTATTATGTTACAAACTTTCATATTCTATAGAGTTCATTTGGTAAGTCAAATTGGTTTTAGATTTGTTAAATATTGTTCATAACTATGAGGCATTCATTCTCTTGCATTTCCTTGGCTTGATTAAATGCTTAATGGACATTGTGACTTTTAAAAGATGTTGTAACATGATGATGTTGTTGGTAAGTTTTCAATGCTGCTCCTCAGGACATTAATGATTATCTCTTGGTTCCTTACATGTCTGAATTGTAATTCATATTGTGATATCGTGTGAAACTCCTGTCCATTGGGAAGTTTACTGCCCAATTGTTTTCGAACTAAAAGCAGTGGTTGCTGTCATGATTTGTAGTTTTAGTGGATATATTTTTTCCGGTGTTCTTTTCAATTCCTTGCTTGAATGACTGTATTCTTGGGAGTGTTAGTAGTTCCTCTGTTGCGTGTTTACATTAAAGTATTACTTTTAATGGTATATAAGCACCATCAGGTCTTTGTAGTGACGATTATAACTTGTTTAAATTCAAAGGCATGAGATGTTAGCATTGTTTTTACATGAGAAACTCATCCTTGTCATAACTGATGTTTGGGTGCTGACTTAATCTTAATGTATGATGTTTTGAGTTTTGTTTTGTATGATAATTTGTATCCTTGTATATGCAAAGGCTTGATAACTAAGGCAAGCTAAAAGATACTCCTATTTGACCTTATTTTGGTATGAGAAACATCCCTTTGTTGTCAACAAAAAACATAGATTTAGAGATTCAGAATAGCAACTCAGAATGAAAGTTGTTGATATAACTTAGCTACAGGTACTGAACAGCACAAAAAGTATAAATCAATCTAACAAATAAATCTAATCCAGACAAGTCACTCCAACAATATGGCTCTTCTCACGTTTTATTGTTCATAGAGCTATTTGGCTCTATGAACACTAACAGCTTCTATGTTGGGGTGCATGAACAACTTTTTTTTTTTTAAAAAATAGTGCTCTTCTTTCTTCTTTTTAATTTCAAAACTCCCTTCATCCTTTTAAAATTTGTTAAAAAAGATGATAATTATTTTGAGCCTAGATTTCAAGCTCCGTGTAGAGATGTCTTTTCATGTGACCCCTACACTGCTCCCCTTATTCTTTTTCATCTATCGGTTATGAGGTTTCCATTTCAGATCATTGCTTGCAACCCCAATCGGCAAAGCCACAAGTCCTCCAATTCTTCCGACTCCGACCACAGCTTCCACTAAGCCACAGATCCTCTGATTCCTCCGACCACCGCTTCCTTTTCTGTAGGTATGGGCTACCTTTTTCTCTCTAACTCATCTCATCTTTCCTTCCTTCCTTTATCTCATCCCATTACTCTGCTATGGACATAAGGAGAAATTGAAGTGAGCAGCATAAATTTAGTTTTCCCTCAATCATTGCTCCCTATAATAGATCGTAGCCTCCGACCCTATGGACAAGCCACAGATCCTCCTGTTTGTTCTGTTTCTCATCACGTTCATCTCACCAACGATGGCAGCCGAGACTACTGCATTCTCCAACCTTCTCTATCAGATACAGAGGAAGAATAACAAGGCCACATGAGCTGGAGTCTAATGCTGCTGAAGATTGTGAGGCGGTAGATACAACTAATGATGTCACGAAGGATAATACGGATCCACTACAGGTGCTTATCGTTTTATTCATTTTATTCACCTTATTAAAGATATATTCATTAGTTTATGATATTATGGTCAAACACGAATAATTGCTTCTTCTTCTTCTTTTAATAAAGAATTGGTTTTGTTGAAATGGCACTGCTTGAGCCTTCGTGGCTTGGGGTCTCTTAGTTTAACAAAGTCCATTGGGTTCCAAAATAGGCTATCTTTCACTTACTGCCAAGCCTGGACCCCTAATTTTTTTTTAACTATGATTAAATTATTGTTGTATTACTTATTACTTATAATGATATACTGATATTTATAATTATATACCTATAACTACTTATAAAATCAATATCAATTCTTATTCTTTTTAGGTACATGAACCCATTTATTCTTGCTGATAGCCATTTTTAAGTACATCTTGATGTGTTCTACATTCTTAAAGGTTTATATTATTTGGGTGTTTTAAAAGTTGATTATTGACTTCTCTTATGTTATTCATATAGGCTAAGCATTTTTAGTATCTAATTCTAGAGCAAGGCAATGTGGTATGGTTATCTATAACTTGAAATTTCTTTGTTGTCAACTTTTTGCCAAATCTCAGCGAAACGGCAGTAGGGAGGAGCAAGTATAGCAAGATCGACTCCTAAGACCCAAGCAAATGGAATTGTTTCGGACTAGATGCTTGCATTCAGACACTGTAATTCTATCTCTCCTTGATCTAATTTATGATTATATAGAGATTACTTTTCCAATGAATCTGATTGTATTTTATTTTTTCTTTTTAGTTGCCTTGATGACTTGAATTGGTATATTGATGTCCGATCCCACAAATTGAGTAATTAAACTGATTATATTCATATTTTCTCATATAATATTTTCATTTGTTTGTAATTAATATAAATATAATATAATGTTTCTACCTTTTAATTTTGCCCCACATGTTTCGTCAGAATTTGTGTAATCTCTTTTAATCTCTCATTTCTATATATTTTAGAGTCTAAAATTATTAAGAATCTGCAACATAAGCGTGAGTCCTGGGCTAAATCATGTAGGCAATCCTAACAGCTCTATGCATTAAATAAAACTTTTTTACTTTGCCAAACATGTTGAGGCATGGCTATTAGTTTGAAGGTTTATAGGGTCAGGGAGCATTGTGCAACCACTTTTCAGAAGACTTGCTTTCTGTTTTTGTATTTTTCCAATGAATCTGATTGTATTTTATTTTTGTTTTGGTTGCCTTGATGACTTGAATCAGTTGCTTTCTGTTTTTGTTTTTCCCATAGCATGAAAAAAAAATTTGAGCTACTGATACCATTGATATCCCATAGCACTATGCAACCAAGACTCTGTGACTGCTTCCTGCTTCTTCTTTTTTCCCCTGTTTCATAAATAAAGTATTGTCGTGTAATATATATTGGTTTATCCATAAGTTAGTTTCTCTTGCATGGTGGTTATATAAAGTACTGTCATGTGTTCTCTTGCTATTTGGGCTCTTCAATTTTATTCACGCCAGTCCCCTTTATTTATATGCTTATATTTATCTCCCATCAACTTTCATTGCATGACCAGTATATATGCTTCATTTTATCCATCAGTAAATATTAGCTTCTTCACTATTTAACGTCCTCATCTTCAATGAAAGCAATGACATCAAGAAAGGGTCACTTGATTAGAGGGCTTCATTGTGCAAGATCGACTGACAACTAGTTTGCTTTCCTGTATCTTGATTCTTATTTTTTTTAATTGTTTTTGAACATGTTTTTTTTTTTTCATGCAGAGAAGTACAAGGCACTAGCAGGGGCATTTCATCAGTCGATTTTGGGCTTCCTTTTGTCATTATTTGGATTGAAACTTATAAATGCTTACAGCTGGTGATATATATCCATTGACAGGACCTTTTTCTTAGGATGGAGATATGGAAGGACACCTTGAGCATTGTACAATGAAGTTTGTATCCTACTGCTTAATTTTTTTGCTTTTCTATGCCATAAATGATATGATCGCATCTAATACATTAAGGCTACATAGTTTATCCATTAGTTAGTTTCTATTGCACAGTAGTATTTTCCAGTTTGCTTTTAAGAAAAAGTCCCATATGCCTGTTTTGCCCTCTTCACAATCAGTATTTGATACACAGGACCAAACTCATTACACTATCAATGAATAGCTGATCTCACGTGTTTGCTTGCCTATTTTGACCAAGGCATGCTTCAGTAGTAGATCTTAGGGAGAGAGTGATAATTTATGCTCCTATTCCTTTGAATCTAATAAGTAATTTTTAAATCAATCATAACCCAAAGATTTTGTGCTTTTGCTTTTTTATTTAAATATGGTAATTTGTTTGAATCTTCTATGAATGTGTTTTTCAGTGCAATCAGCTATTAACATGAGAGTCTAATAGCAATTAATCACTTGTCCTCTGTATTATTTCCCCGTCTCATTGATGCATTGCTGGATATGTTTTCTTCTCTCAGTTTGTTCTTTCTGCTATTTGTCTGTTATTTTGATAGGCACTATGACTCATGACTCAAAAGTTCCTCCACGGCTTTGTTTAAATAGGCAAGCTGCTTTCTGTAAGCCATTGATTGGCATATGCATTTTTATCATGAAGGAAAGATGAGAAGACTAATGCAACGCGAGTTACCTGTTAAAATAAATTTTTTATTTTATTCCTATAAAAAAAAAATTAGGTTGACCAAGTTTCCTGGATGAGTTAGTCTCAAGCTTTTGCAGAGTTGTTTCACAGTATTCTAGAGTCTAAGATTTAGTTGTTTATCTTTGGCGAATTCTTTTAGTCGATCGACAATGGTTGTACTCATCAGGCAAATTCACTTCGAAGATGAGTTATTCTTTTATATGTATGATATACCTAATTTCTTTGATGGAGTGAGGGGAGACTGAGAGCTCCTTGGCCCTCCCTCTATCTATCTATTACTTCATTAATTTTATTGGGATCTTTTGTTTTTAAAAAACATTATTTTTTTACTTGTAATGTGAGTAGTAAGTCATCTATCTCTTGCTTATTCAAATTTTCTATTTTCATGTTGCAGGTTTATTCTTGGATATCAATAGCTCAACGTCTCAACCGATTTGGACCAAAACATTTTTGCTTTTTCAAGTACATAACATATGAATGAGGTTATTGGGTAATAAGAGCAAACATTCAAAGAATTAAAATTGGGCGAAAGTAAATACAGTAAGATGTCTTTGTTATCAAAAAATTATGCCTTTTTTGTTTTGGCAGGATGACAAAAATCTGATAACAAAATTAATGTCAAATTAAGATTTTTATAATAACTTTGATTTTCAAATTTATTATCCATCCTTATATTGTAATATTGAAAATTTTTGCCTTATACACGTTACATATTTATGAGTGAATATATACCAAACGAGAGTTAGTTGAACAATTCATAATGAATAGATAATTTCTTTTTGCATGTTTAGAGAAACATGTTTACATGATTGCTATCGTGGAGTTTTGGTTTTATTAACAAATTTATGGATGTAGGTGGCCAAAAAAAAAAAAAAAACAGAAAGAGAAGAAAAAACTGACTGGCTGAAAAGAATAAATATCCCTACAAATTAGTAGAGTATCCATATATAGGTGTAAGCTTATGTGGAGTTAATTGCAAATTTAAAAGGGGCAGGTGCAATTGTTTTTCAGAAAAAAAGTAAGTGAAAATTTTGCTGATTTATCATGACATTGAAAATTTTGTTGCGTAGAAAGAAAAAGATGTCAAATACTATTAATATAGTATACAAAGAAATCTTTCAAAACCTTCAACCTTTCAATCTTTTGATTTGTTTGGCATAAAAAAAAATTGGTATATTCGAACATTAACATTTGGAATTATGAAATATTTGCTTCATAGTTATTAATTTCATTAATTGATTTTGTCATCTTATATCCTTTTGTTTTATCAACATCATGTAAAGTGTATTTATTGACAAGCATGATAAAATAATCCATGCATCGCATGGGGTTGTAGCTAGTGACACTATTATATAATGAAGACATGGACCACTGTTTCAGAACAGTAGTAATTGATCCCTGCAGCTCCAAAGCAACAACCCTTTGAATTCATCATTTAAATGAGATAGGAAATAAAGAATACGAATTTTCAGTTTATTCCTATCAAATATATATATTATATATATTATATATCTATTCAACAAATATGGAAATTTTATTTTGTAAAAATAATTATCTGTCTAAAATTTAGGCATATTTTGATATTCATTCAATAACTATTATTTGACTAAAAATTAATATAAATATGCACAGAAAAAAACGAATATACATAATTTGAATTCATGAATATTTTTACCCTAAAAGACTAATTCAATTCATCATAGCATTATTAATGAGAGGATATCAATCGTTAAATATGAAACAAAATAAAGGATATATATCTTTGTTTTTTCCTTTAATAGTTATATTTATTTAACAATTAGGAAAATTTAAATCCAAAAAATAATTATGTGCCTGAAATTTGGACTCTAGATGTATATTTTGTTAGTAATATTAGTTACTTGATAAAAAAAATTGTTGAAATCCTATTTGATTTTATTACCCTATTAAAAAAATTTAAAATGGAAAGAAAAAAAATTGTTAAAAAGATAAATTTAACCTTCGTATTGGAAACTTTCATTTGCATGCTTAATGCGTCTTCCCTTAAGGCCATCAACACACTTTAGGCTTAAAATCGAAACAATCCCAATTCCTAATTCTAGTCGTTGTCCATTAACTTCGAAACAAATCCATTTAAATTTGAAGTCGTCCGCATTCCAGTTTTTTTTTCCAGTTAATGAGACTTTTAGGATCCAAGGATCAGATGAAATATTATGCCGCTGCCAAGTTAATGTGAGAACCTACACTACACTATACTTACCTATTGATGGTTTGGGCAAATGTGGCAGATAAAATAATGCATGGGAGACTTTTCAGTAACTTTTGGCCAAAGGTTATCAAGTAGATCTGCATGCATATGCTGCTATGATTCATGGTCTTTGCAAACAGGGTTTTCTTGATGAAGCCACGGCCTTGCTTGACAGAATTGAAGAGAACAATTACCTCCTTTATTCCATGATTATTAAAATTATTATTCGATGTCTTCTTCAAAACTATAAGAATGACAAAGCAGTGAAGCTTCTACATAGAATGATTGATAGAGGCCCGCTGGAGGGGGGGAAAAACAGGGTTAAATGCTGTAGCTCAAGTTCAAGTTGTAAGCATATTTATGTTTAATAAGAATGAATGTTAGGAAAGGCTTTTATATTTTGTGTTGAGAAGTCGAACTACACAATTAAATGACCGTTTTACAAGCATGTAGTTTAATAACGTTTTGTATTTGTATGTAGTGAAATTTGTCACAAGCACGTTCAAGTTAGAACATGTTCAAGTTCATGTCATTATGGCTTGTATCAGCAAAATTGAAATTATTCTTCAGTCCCTTCCCACTAAAATTGTATCATATGCTTGATCCCATGCTTATAAGGAGTTTATAAGTCTAAATTTTAACACCAGGTTTACATATGCTGACATTCAGTTGTAAGTAAAATAGTGGTGTAAAATGCAAAATTCCCAAGGTTCTTGAGTTGCATGGTGAAGATTTCCTGTAACAAAACAAAATAGCAGGACAAGGTATTATGTAGATTGATGAGAATTTCAGTTCTTATTGTGGGCGGCTATTTAGTGGCCGTGTACTGTTGTTATGAATTTTTTTCTCGGCCAAAGTGTACTGTTATTAAGCATTAAATTATCGTATGTTTCTACTAGATAATGGTATAGCCAAAATCAGTTGAAGATGATTGTATCATGTATCTCTGGACTGTACTAGAGCTTCAGATCAATGTCACCTTCCTCCAGGTCCGAAAGGTGGATCTCCCCCTCCTCTGAAACTCATTAAAGAACTGCATAATCGGTATGCAAGTTTAGCTGGAATGTTGCAAATTCCTAATAAGTCATGTGATAATCATTTTTGGCAACTTATTGAAAATAATTCTTGCAAATTTCAAATACATGTAGTTGTTTTTTTTTTTTTTTTGGGTTGGAAAAATTGTATTGGCTTGGCTTACAACAGAATGTTTGACTTGCTGAAAAATGTTTAGAGTAGTATATTATTGTTTTGCTCCATGCCGATGCATTCTTTCCTTTAGAAGTGAGCAAAAGAATGTCTGGCTTGCAGTTCCTCGGGTTTTGCCATTTCCCGTTTTTTTTTTTTTTTTCCTAATTCTTTTATTTATAGCTACAATTATTGGGAGGGGAATAGCATAATCTTTCATCGGAAAAGCAAAATATTATGTAGAACTGTTTCCATCAGATCGTTTAAACTTCTAATTCTTTTCATACTAATCTTTCTTCCAATTCTTTTCATAATCTGTGCAAGTATTTGACAGTTTTCTGCTGTCTGTTTCAAGCATCCTGTCATGTTGAAGCACGCAAGGATAGCCTTGTGCTTATGGACTGCTTCAGAAATGCTTGCAGCTGCTTACGAAACGGAGATGCAATCAGATGAAGTTCGTTGATCTTGTGATTTGTCTGTGCTGTCTTTTACACCAAGATAACAGAAATAATAATGTTTGATCTTGGTATATTCTTACTGATTTTATTAGTCATAAACAGAATTTATGGTTCTTTTTAATGTTCAGTAGATTGATTTCATTTTCGTATATTGAGTTCTTCGTTTTCTTAATATTCTTTAGGATGATTGCTGAAGCTTGAGTTTGATTTGGGTGTTCATTATTGTGATGAGATTAGACCATCTAGATTCTGGATGATCCAGATTTAAACCATTATTATTTTTAATATGGTCTAAATTAATTTGGAGGGTCTCATTTAATATTAAAATTTTTATAATTATTATATATTGATTATCCAGATGTACTCTACACAGTCTAAATTAACACCAAATTAAATCTAGAATGTGCAGAGTATATCTAGATAGTTAATATACATCAATTATAAAAAATTTAATATGAAATTGGACCCTTTAAATTAAATCTAGACCATATTAAAAATAAAAAAATTATTAAAATTATTTTATAATTTTTATTTTAAAAAATATAATATATAATAATGGTTCAAATCAAGACCATCCAGATTGATCAAAATCTAGATGGTTCGGATTTTATCACAGTAATGAACACCCAAATTGGGTCCCTGAAGCTTTCAACTCCAATCATGGAGGAAAAAGTACAAATTCCTACTTTCTTTGCATGTCTTATGAGATTACCTTCCACATTCCAAATGCCCATTATTACTTCAGAAATATTGGGCTTTTGAGGCTAAGCTCATTCTTATAGAATTATTGTTTAAACTAAAATTTTACATTTGTTCCTATTAGGACAGTGTAATAAATTTTGTATTTCCTGGTTCAACGAGTATGATTTATAGCTCTCTCTACCATAGTTATATTTTCATGAAAATTATGATATTTCAATATATCCTTTTGTAAGAAAATTATTATACAAGAAAACAAGTAGTTCAGAAAGGAAGCTTAATATCAAGGGCCATTACTTTCTTCCTAAAAAGCTAGCTTAAGTCCCTCCAATGTGGGACATGATAGCTCCCCGGCTAACCTGTGATGCCCCTATCATAGGTGGCCTATTAAAGGGGTTCACCGATTGGTTAAACTCAAGTCTAACTCTGAAATCACTTTGTCAAAGGGCCATTAATCTCTCCTCAAAAGGCTAGCTCATTAAGATATGCAACACACCTGCTTATATAGTCAAGACCCTCCTCAAGTCCTTCCGATATGAGACATGACAATCCCCCACCCAATCCGTAACGCCCTTGTTTGGGGATAGCTCACCAGAGGGGCCTACTAACTATTCACATTCAGGTTTGACTCTGATATAACTTTCTTATGGGACCATTACTCTCTTCCTAAAAAACTAACCTGTTGGAGTGTGTACTGCACTCACTTATATAGTCAGGA